GCAGGCAGTTCAGTTTGGGTGGAGTGTAGAATGTGCCTGGAAGAAAGTGGGAGCCCAAGCTAGACAGGGGGGCTGTGCTCTTACCTAGAGAGATTTGAATACCATGCACAATTCTGTGGGTGGGAAGAGCCACTGTTAGACCCTTGGTAGTGCTGGGCATTAGGAAATCTAATTTATTTCATCTCTGTATCCCTCCTCATAGTACATGTGTCTGGCACACACTCAGTTAATGTTAGCCACATGAATGAATAAGAGAATGAATGAATGAATAATATTTGAGATATGGTCATCATATCCTTGTTAAGGATTGATGTCTTCATTATAAAGTAGCTCTCTTTGTTCTTTCTAATTTACTTTGAATTTAAAATGAAGGCATTTCAGGACTTCCCTGGCGGTCCAGTGGTTAAGACTCTGCACTCCCATGCAGGGGGCGTGGGTTCGATCCCTGGTGGGGCAACTAAGATCCCACTTGCTACATGGTACGGCCAAAAAAATACATATATAAAATGAAGGCTTTTCACCCTGAATGAATAAAAGAAAAAACGGAAGGGAAGGAGAGGGAGAGGAGGAAGGGAAGGATGGAAAGAGGGACGGAAGGAAGCAGAGTGGAGGTGGGGAGATCAGGTCAGAGACCATTGCCACTGTCTCAGTAAGAGGCACCAGGTCTCTGGGCCAAGGCAGAGGCAGTGGGGCTGCAGGAAAGAGAAAAACGTGGAAGTTGGGCGATTTCATTGCCAGGAGTTGGCAACTGATGGCTCCTGGTCCCACTCAGAGACTGCTTCCAATTCCAGCCCAGAGCCCACCTCCAGGCTTTGAACCTGGAGGATCCGGCTGCTTTGGGGGAGGAGAGGATGAGGTCTGTTTGGGGTGGGCTGGAGATGTCTGTAGGTGGTCTGAATAATAGTGTCCAATTTGCAGTAAAAAAAAAAAAGGGGGGGGAGATGCCAAATCTCAGAGAAGGGTTTAGACGGAGACTATGTTAAGAAATGACAGATGTGATCTCAAGCAAAGAGTTAGAGGAAAGAAGAGGAGGGACTTCCCTGGTGGCCCAGTGGTAAAGAATCGCCTTACAATGCAGGGGACGTGGGTTCAGTTCCTGGTCAGGGAACGAAGATCCCACGTGCCGCGGGGCAACTAAGCCCGCGTGCCACAACTACTGAGCTGCACGCCTCAACTAGAGAGCCTGCGCGGTACAAACTACAGAGCCCACTCTGGAACCGGGTGCCACAACTACAGAGCCCACTCGCCCTGGAGCCAGCACACCACAACTAGAGAGAAGCCCGCACGCTAGTAACGAAAGATCTCACATGCCTCAACGAAGATCCCACGTGCCACAACTAAGACCCAATGCGGCCAAAAAAAAATTTAAAGAAATATAAAAGAAGAAGAGGAGTTCTCTTTCCTTCTGTCTTGCAGCAAAGTAAAAGCAAAATAGTTTTTAAGCTCTTCTATACGTCAGGCATTCTATTATAGTTTCATAGCCATTAACGCAACAACTTTGCAGGGGCATCATCATTATCCCTATTTTACAGATGAGAAACTCAGACTTAGAAAGGTGGAGGTCACACAAGGTCACACAGGCATGGAGAGGTGGAGCCAGATCTGGACTCCAGGCCTGCCTGGCTCAGAAGCTGTGCCTTAACCACAGCACTCTCCTGCTTGGGGCCTCTGTCACAGCAGCAACTTCTGTCATCCACTCAGGAAGTCCACTGTCCCTTCTGTTTCCTTCGTTCCTTACTTAGTAGATGTTCACGAGCACCTATTTAAGAAGAAACATGATTCTAGGAGCTGAGGATACCAAGGTCTTCCTCTCAAGAAGCTTTGATTAAATAGGGGAGATGAGGTATACAATTACGATGCAAGGCAGAAAGTGCAAGGCGTCCAACGGAGGTACAAACAAAACCAAAACAAGTTCAGAGTTAGGAGAGGTAAATTCCAGCTAGTGGGGAAGAATGGAGAAGGAATGAAGGAATGAATGAAAGCATACTTCTTAAGCACTCACTATATGTCAGGCCCTTTACTAGGAAAACTGTTACCAGTATCTGGTTAATCTTGGGCATTAATCTCAGCCATTTCACACGTGAAGTAAGTGGTCCAGCTCATTCCCTGCCCCGTGCTCAGGTAGGGGCCTGTCTTCTACATGGCACTGACCACGCATTATATAATTGCTAAACTGTGTCCCCCACTGAACTGTGAGCCCCCCGAGGACAAGGACTGCATCTACCTTGGTCACTGTTGTGTCTGTAGTATTGTATCCAACAGACTAGACTCAGCAAGGCACCTGGCATATAGCAGGTGTTCTGGAAATATTTCTTGGAAAAAAGGAAGGAAAACAGAGAGGTTTAGGAAAGTCTCCAAGATGATACATCTAGAGCATATGGTGAAGCAGGATTCAAATTCCTATTTCCTATCTAAATTTCACTTTTCCCAGTTTCCTACTTACGGCGCAATGGGCAGGGGTAGGCTGATTTTGGGGGACGGGGAAGACCCAGCATCAGCTACCAGGAAACCTGGCCCCCATCTCTGCTTCACAGTGCTTACTGTGTGGCTTTGGATGCATTGTTCCCCTCTCTGGGCCTCCCAAGGGGGGCTTCCAGGGGCAGTGTGAACTCCAGGACAGTCCCTACCTGAGAGAGAGGGAGAACAAATAGACCAAACCCTGCATCCCCTTCGACACACAGCCCCTCTTACTTTTGAGCTTTGAGGGAAACAAACATTTTGTTTCTGAACAGAATATTGCTGGGACAATAACGTCCGAGGACCCTGAGTTTCCTGCTGGCTCTCCTGCACCCGCCAGCTCTGATCCTCCAGCTGCCATGAAGGCTCAGTGACTTCCCTTTGTCCTTACAGGATGGAGGGTGAAGCCGAATACATCCTCCCTACCGAAACAAAATATGTTGGGGAAATGAAGGACGGCATGTTTCATGGCCAAGGAACCTTGCACTTCCCCAGTGGGAGCCGATACGATGCCATTTGGGAGAAAGGATTGGTTGTGAAGGTAATCAGCTGGGGAGGGAGTCTGCAGAGGGGAAAGCCTCGGACAGGAAGGGCCCCCCTGACACCGACCCTGCCCTCCCCCTCTGCTGCTCTCTTCTCCCTCCTCTTGATCTTCAGGGCTCTGGAATCCTCTCCCTCTGGATCCAGAAGGGCTCCTGGACAGGCCATGATGAATTTGAATCCTATTATGCCACCAACTGTGTGACCTTGGGCCCATGACCTCCCCTTTCTGAGACTCATGTTTCTTGTCTATAAACTGGAACAATGGTTGTATTAGTATCATATTGCTGCTGTAACAAATTACTATAAACTCAGTGCCTTCAAACAACAGAAACTTATTATCTTATGGTTCTGCACATCAGAAGTCTACAATAGGTCAGCAGTGCTGCATTCCTTCTGGAGGCTCTGTGGGAGGATCCACTTCCTTGCCTTTTCCAGCTTCTAGAAGTTGCCTGCATTCCTTGGCTCGTGGCCATGCATCCCTCTGACCTTCACTTCCATCATCCCATCTCCTCTCCCTCTGCTTTTATCATCACCTCGTCTTCTCTCACTCTGACCCTTCTCTCACTCTGACCCTCCCTCTTATAAGGACCCCTGTGATTACACTGGGCCCACCTAGATAATCCAGGATAATCTCCCCACTTCAAGGTCCTTGACTTAATCACATCTGCAAAGTCCCTTTTGCCGTGTAAAGTTAACACATTCATAGGTTCAGTGATTAGACGTGGACATCTTTGGGGGACCATGATTCCACCGGCCATGAGAGTACTAGGCATCACCTAGGATGGTTATGAGAATAAATGAGGCAATATATGTGAGCACGCTGCTC